AGAAGTCGAGGCTTTTCCAACTTGTGAGTCTTGCCTGGAAGGTAAGATGACTAAGAGGGTTTTTAGGTCAAAGGGGCATAGAGCCGAAGATGTGTTAAGGCTAGTTCATTCCGATCTATGTGGTGCTATGAGTGTTCAAGCGAGAGGTGGCTTCGAGTACTTCGTTACATTTATCAATGATTACTCGAGATATGGGTACATTTTCCTTCTGCACCACAAGTCTGAATGCTTTGAGAAGTTCTTAGAGTATAAGGCAGTTGTGGAGAAACAGTTAGGAAAAAGTATCAAGTCATTACGATCAGATCGTGGTGGCGAATATCTCTCGAATGATTCTAGGAGCTACTTGACGGATAATGGGATTACGTCCCAGCTGACTGCGCCTGGCACGCCTCAGCAGAATGGCGTAGCAGAATGGAGGAATAGGACTCTTATGGAAATTGTTAGGGCAATGATGAGTTATAGTACATTACCAGATTCGTTTTGGGGATATGCCCTAAAAACAACGGTATACATTCTGAATAGAGTACCTTCTAAATCAGTACCGTCTACACCATTGGAGTTGTGGTTTGGGCATATGCCTAGTCTAAGGCATCTCAGGATTTGAGGTACTCCAGCACATGTGCTGAGAACCGATACTGATAAGTTGGAATTGAGATCAGAAATAAGGCTGTTTGTGGGATATTCTAAGGAAACAAAAGGTGGTCTATTTTATAGTCCCGAGGACCAGAAAGTAATCATTAGCACGAATGCTAGGTTCTTGGAAGAAGACTATGTCTTAGATCATAAGCCCAGTAGTAGACATGTTCTTGAGGAGTTAAAGGGAGTGAGTACTTCAATACCGAGTGCGCTAGATGTTACACCACAAAGTACTGCAACACGTATCACCGATGATGCACCTGAGCAGGTAGTACCTCGTCGTAGTGGGAGGGTTATCCGGCAGCCCGAACGGTTCATGGGTCTGGGAGAGTCTTCTGAGGCCGTCCCGGACGTTCTTGAATCCGACCCATGGACATACAATGAGGCACTCCAAGATCGGGACGCAGAGTCTTGGCAAAAGGTGATGAAATCTGAAATAGAGTCAATGGACACTAATCAGGTCTGGGATCTTGTAGAGCCACCCAGTGGCGTTCAGGCCATTAGATACAAGTGGGTCAATAAGAGAAAGAGAGGAGCAGATGGGAATATTGAGACCTTCAAAGCTAGGCTTGTTGCGAAAGGGTACACTCAGAAAGAAAGGATCGATTATGAGGAAACCTTTTCGCCGGTAGCCATGCTCAAGTCCATCAGGATTCTCTTGGTTGTGGCCGCTCATATGGATTATGAGATTTGGCAAATGGAGGTTAAGACTGCTTTCCCTAACGGGAATTTGGACGAGGACATCTATATGCAGCAACCAGAAGGATTCATTGCAAAGGGCCAAGAGCATCTGGTCTGCAAGCTGAAGAGGTCCATTTATGGGCTGAAGCAGACTTAGAGGTTTTGGAACATCCGTTTTGACGAGGTTGTCCAATCGTAAGGATTTACCCAATGTCCGGATGAGCACTGTGTGTACAAGAAAAGTGATGGAAACGTGGTGGTGTTTCTAGTGTTGTACGTGGATGATATTCTTCTCATTGGAAACAGTGTGAAGATGTTATCAGACGTAAAGGTATGGTTATCCAAGCAGTTTGATATGAAGGATTTGGGAGAAGTAGGACATGTTCTCGGAATCAAGGTCATTCGCGACCGAGAGAATAGAAAGTTGTGCCTATCCCAATCCACATACATAGAAACTATCCTAAAGCGTTTCAACATGCAGGATTCCAAGAAAGGGGATTTACCCTTTCGGCACGGAATACCTGTATCTAAGAGGATGTCCCCGAAGACGCCTCAAGAGATAGAGGACATGAAGGCAGTTCCTTATGCATCGGCAGTAGGAAGCCTCATGTACGATATGTTGCGCACGCGACCTGATATTTGTTATGCCGTGGGCATGGTAGCAAGATATCAGAGTAATCTAGGACCGGAACATTGGTCTGCGGTAAAGCATATACTCAAGTACCTACGTAGCACTAAGGAGTGCATGTTGATTTACCAGGCAGATGAATTGGTTCCGTTGGGTTACACCGATTCTGACTTCCAGGCAGACCGGGACGAAAGCAAGTCAACCTCAGGGTTTGTGTTTACTTTAGGAGGAGGAGCCATAGTATGGAGGAGTGTCAAGCAGAAATGCGTGGCAGACTCAACCATGGAGGCTGAGTATGTAGCAGCCTCAGAGGCAGCGAAAGAAGCTGTCTGGATCAAGAATTTTCTCCTCTATCTTGATGTAGTACCGAGTTTGCCCGCTGCAATCACAATGTTTTGTGATAACAGCGGAGCAGTAGCAAATTCGAAGGAGCCACAGACTCATAAAGCGAGTAAACACATAGAGCGCAAGTACCACCTGATACGAGAAATCGTTAGACGAGGAGAAGTCGTTGTTGCCAAGATACAATCAGAGGACAACCTAGAAGATCCTTTTACGAAGAGCCCACCTTGAGAATTAGATTGAAAGAAATTGTGGTT